CTGCTCCTTGGGGCCCTTCGGATGGTCTGAGGAGGTGAACAGGCAGCTGGACAGGGGCTTACCTTGGGGGGCACCAGAGGTGCTGTCTTCCAACTGTTCCGGCTAAAGATGGGGGGGGCTTGGGAACCGCCCCCCTTCTGTCTTTTGCAAAGGAGAAGGCTGGGAGGCTCTGCCTACGGGATCTCCCCTGCTGGGCTGGCCCCTCAAATCTGGGCCTTACAGTGGGAGAAGGAGTGCACCAAAGCTTCAGGGGGGCAGTGTGAGCAGCCGGGCTGCCTTTCCACTTGCTCCTGTCAGTTGTGGGGTTTGCAGGGCTGGCACGGATGACAAGGATGGAGGCGCAAAGATGCAGCCAGTGGGAAGTGCGGGCAAGCAGTCCGACGACCAGTAGGCATGAGCGGCGGTGGAAGCCCACCCCCCCCCCCCGCCAAGGCCACCTTTCTTTCATTGCCCGACCGATCAAGCTGTGGGAAGGGGAAGCCAATGGGTTTTCTGTGGGGGCAGTTGGGTCTGGCCAAGTCTAGGTGCCCCCCCCCCCCGAGCTCCCAATGCCACCCAACTTTCAAAGGCACCCAAGAGTTTCCTCTTCCAGGAGATCCTATCTAGGGCTGAGATGGTTATTTTTGCCCGGTGGTTGGTTTTCTAATTGCTCTTTTGAAGAAAGTTCTGGAAACAGGGAGCCGTATAATAAAAATGCCCTCCAGCCCTCAGCAATAATGAAATGCAGTGAAACCCCAGGTGATTCTGTAGCAAAAGTGCCAGTCTAGGAAACCACAGAATGAAATGGCTGGGTCAAGGATGGGGGCGCTTTCCCCCAGGGTGGCTGGCAACTGGGCAGAAAATAAGGTGACCCAGGCAAGTTGCCTGCTCCATTGCCCTCCATGTCATCCCTGACATAAAATGTGTGGACTAAAATTACTCTGAAAATACGAAGAAAAAACATTCAGGTATTTCTGCCAAGGAGCAGAAGAGGCCAGTGCTCGTTTCTGTGGGCTCACCTGAGCCCCCAACAGCCAAGCTGGACCAAGGACTACCTCAGGGGTAGGATTCTACCGGTTAGGATCGGTTCTATAGAACCAGTTGTCGTGATCCTGCACAGTTCGGAGAACCAGCAAATCATGCCCCTAGCTGGCCCCGCCCCCTCCCCGCCCAGTCAGTCCTTATCGCGCATGCCCGACATCGCTGACTGCGTTCTTCCCTGCCCAGTCACTCCTTAAGTATTTTTTTTCCCTCCCAAGCATCAGTTGTTCCTATGATCGGCTGTGCCAGGATTCCCCTCGCTGTCTTACTGCTTCGCCCAGGAGGCTTCCCTGAGGCCCAGGAAGCCCCAAAACAGAGCATGGGGTGTGTGTGCAAAAAAAAGCCACACCCACCCAGTCACATGGCCATGCCACCTGGCCATGCCCATTTAGCCACGCCCACCTAGTTACACCCACAAAACTAGTTACACAATTTGAATCCCACCCCTGAATATGTGTATTAAATATATTGAAATAAATGAAATTATACAGGAGGAGAGCTGAAATGAAATTAATATTAGGGTTCAGGATTAAATGAATAGATTAATATGTCTTTTTTTTGAAATTGTAAACAAATCTTATGTAATTAAGACGGCGAAAAACCATGCAGACTCTGGTTTATATATGCTATGTAGGGATTATTAATTTTAATAAAAAGTTAAATGTTTCATGGGACTTAAAAGGGGAGATGATTAATGAATATATAGTACTTTGAGGTGGCGCACTTAAATTGATAATTTAGGGGGGAAACTATTTTTTAGGAGAAGTGTATCTAATTAGAATGTAAGATGAAATATACAAATGTGACAGTTAAAGGTATTAAAGTATAATAATTATGAATCTAACATAGATGAATTAAATAAGAGGTAAGCATTTGGAGTAATACAATAAAATAGAAAATGTATAAAAGCTTTGTTTAGATAAGTTGAATACAAAAACTGAATACGTAACTATGGTCATATTTGTATGTACATGTGAAACCTGTAATCATGCTGTTCGCTAAAAAGAGATGTTTTTAAAATGTGGAAAATTGAATAAAACTTTTTTTTAAAAAAAAAGACTCTCAGATGCGGCTTATCTGGTCCTGCAGGCTTCGTGATAGGCCGGTGCTCCGTAATTAGGCCTCTTGTTACCCCGAGTTCGGTATCTGCTATTTTTAGGTCCATTTAAACGCATTCACCTTTTGGGAGAAGACCAAAAGACAGGTGTTGAGGAGCATTGCCCTCTCCCTGCCCCCTCACCTGTTCTTGTCTTAGCAGCCTTGTCCCACAGTGGGCCCATCCCTGCCTTTTCCCAGTTAGATTCGCCCGCTTTGGGTTACGTCTGCACAGCCGTAGTAATGAGCTTACTCTGGTCCTAGAGACAGGAGGGAACGTCTGGTCTATTGATAGAAAATCGCTGCCTTCAACCACCTCTGGAAAGAGCCTACCTGGTATTGACGTTGTGGTCCCAGAGAGGGATGTGGAATCTGGAAAACATGCCAGGTATTTTTTACATTTTAGTCATAGGCCGATCTGCCTCTCGAGATCCCCCTGGATCCCTCTTGTTCAAATCTGACCACCTGAAGAAGTCGATCCAGGAAGAGAGTGGCTGGAGCGTTAGTGCTGATGGGAAGGAAACCTTTGGGCAAGCCTGTGGCTGGCCTTTGTGAGTTGGGCTTCCCCCCACCCTGTCCAAACAGCTGGCAAGAATGGCCATGCAGGGGCCCCGACATAGGAGAAAAGAGAAAAGGGCCCTCCTGCAAACAGCCATTTTGACAATCCCAGAGGGGAGGGAATTGTCAGAGGAGAGTGGGATGCCACAGAATGGAGCTGACAAGATTCCTGGGAATTACGCTTGCCACTGAGCTGTAACTTGAGGGTGTTAGTTGTAGAGCTGCAGAAAGAACTGGGAGAATGGCACTTCTGGCAAGTTGCAGAGACCCACAGTTAGGGTTAAAGCAGAAGGGCGTTCACGAGCAGATCCTCGAGAGTTTAAGACTGACGGTTTTTAATAAAGAAATGTAAGTTATGCAATCTGCCTTTTCCCCCTGGAAAACTGGGAGCATGTGCAAACGTTGTTTTTCCCCCAAGTTGGAACAGAGGAATCCATGCTAGATCTGCTATTCCTGAGAAGTATAACCCTTTTTGAAAAAGGATTGGCATGGGATGTCCTGCCCAGAGTTCTATGGGAAGCAGATGTTCTGGTGCTTCTCAAAAAGCTGCCTTCCTGTAGGCCAGGTAGAGGATAAAGCCTCAGGACCCAGCCGGGAGGTGGTTGTCTTGGTCAGGTGGCAGCATAGCCCCTGGGCTAAGCAGACGAGGGGCAGCAGCCGGGGGGGTGGGCAGCCTGGCCTGAGTGGAACCCCCTGGGCTGAAAGCAATAGGTGGCCTCCTCTGGAAGGGGGCCTCTCGAGCAGGGCCCCCCTTCCATGGTGGGGGAAAGGCAGGGGGCACTCATCCAGTCACAGCACATGGCCTTGGGTCGATCTGGGAAGGTCACAGCACGCCCCACCCAGCTTCTCTGGCAAGGAGGGGTCCACCAGAAAGGCCAGGAGGGGTGAGGGCCCCTGTCCCTGGGGAGGCTCCTAGGCTTGCAACTGGAGAGAGGCTTCGGGGGGGGGGCAGGTGGGGACGTGGAAGGGGAGTTGTCGGGGCTGAAACGTTGAGGGAAGGGCCTTCCAAGGAGGGTTCCCGGCTTCTCTTTAGTTGGTCCCTTTGGGGTCCCAAACAATCCAGTTGCCCAGTTTGTCTCCCACACATCTGGGTTAAGCAGAGAGGCCTGAGGGGAGGGGGCTCTCTCTGTGTAGAGAGAGGCAAGGGACTTGCAGATGCCTCCACCCCTCTTCTCCCTCTCTGGAAGTTTCCAAAGAGTTCCCATGTCCAGCTCAGTCCCCGCCCCTCTGGATCTGGCAGTTGTCCTGTGCTCCCACCCCACCTCTGGCTAGGTTTTTCCAGATGATTTTTCCAGATGATGTCATGCAAAGCTGCATTGGAAGGAGGAGAGTGGGTGCTGCTCCTTCCCCCACCGCCCACAGGCCCACTTCCTCCCTGGGGAGGCCATCAGGAAGCCCCACCTTCCCTTGCTGTCTCTGAGTGCTTTCCACATTCAAATGTTTGGGTGCGGTGGGGGGGGGGCACTTACTTTGCTTGAAACTTCCCTAAATCCCAGGGTCCTCCTTCTCCCCTCTGATCCAGGATCCCCATTTTTCCGGAATGAGCCTTCCTAAGTCCCCTTGATGTCTGAGAAGGCAGCAAGCGGGGGTGGGGATGGAGAATTGGCTTAGAGTACAAGACAAACTCATTAGGACCAGCCAGTGCATGTCCAGCTGGCACAGATGTTTGCCCTGCTCCCAAACGGTGCCTGCTGGGAGATTTGCAAGGGAGGGATCTTTCTTCTGGGAACAGCTATTGGAGGAGGAAGACTTTGCATGTCAGAAATCCAACACAAAGCAGCCCTGAGTGTGTCAACAGCTGGGGAAAGGAAATGGGGGGGGGGCTCTCCTCTTAGAAACCAGTTTCAAATCTTGCATTTCCAGGCTGAAAAGGCGTTGGCCTCCTGTAGTCAGTGACCCCCAGGCACAAATGGGATGGAGGGACAGGGGGGCTTTATCCTTCAAACAGGAGGGGAAGGGAGTAGAGGGAAACATGGGGCGGGGAGGCAGCCTCGCTGGAGGAGCCAGAAGCGCTCCAGTCAGACTGGGCAGGAAGCAGCTGCTGCGGGGGGGGGGGGGGGGGGGGGGGGGGGGGGGGGGGGGGGGGGGGACACAGCAACTGGGAGCAGCGTCAACCAGCACAAGGCAGTGCAAGGGTCCCACGAGTGAGCACGGTGGAGGAGAGGGGGTGGCTTGCACAGGAGAGCACATCTGCTGCAGATGTTTGCAGAGGGGGACAGCTTGAGGGACTTCAGCAGAGTCGGCTTGTCTGCTGGAACCTCGTCTCTGTGGGTGGGGGGAGGGCAGCTGTTCTGCACTGGGGGGGGGGGCAAGGGAAGGACGCTCGGTCCTCCGGGCTTGTGGAGAGCAGCTAAGAGTTAACCCTGTTCCTGGCGGCCGTGCTCCCTTGTAAACATTGTTGTTGGCTTGCAGCCCACCCACCCCAAGCTTGCTGCTTCCAATTAAGCGGGTGGGTCTGTGTGCTCTCCATGGTGGGCGCATAGCCCTCCCTGCCTGCAGCCTGTCTGGAGCTGTGGCTCCCTGCTCAGCTTGGGGCCATGGGCTTCGTCCACCACCTCCTACTAGCTGTTCTGCTGCTGCTGGTTAGCTTCTCCCCCCTGCCTGGGGAGGGTCAGCAGGTCAAGGTCCTCTTCACCCCCACAATCTGCCACATGCACTGCAGCAACGGGCGCTGCATTAACCGATGCGAGCAGGGCAACGCTACCACTCTGTACAGCGGGGAGAGTGCCAGGGCAGCGGAAGGGGCGTCTGGATTCCGTGTCTGTGAGTACCAAGGGGGCAGGGGAGCTGACGGTCCCACTCATTGGTTTCGGGGTTGAGGTGATGGGCCCCTGGTAAGAGACCTACGCACACTGGTCAAGGGGGAGGGAAGGCAGGGGGCAAGGGGACGACCCATACCCTGTGCTGTGGGAAATGGAGGGCCCTGACGCCAGTCCGTTTTCGAGCACCCTGCTGCGCCCCCTCTTCCCTTTTGCTGCCTGGTCCAAATCAGGTGCCCTCTGGGGGTGTCTCGCCTTACTTTCAGCCCCAGCCACTGCTTGGCAGGTCCCTGGTTCTCTGTGCCACTCCCGTTTCCCAGGCAAGGTTCTGCCTGGGATCAGCAGCTAGCTGGCCCTCATCCCTTTGGTAGGCCCACCCTGGTTCCTTCCTTCTGGGGCCCCTACCTCTTCCAGCTGCTGCCCTGACTGCAGGGCTGTCTCTGGTTTCAAGTCCTCTGCACTGCAGCCCGAGCCAGGCTCTTGGGCGTGGCTTTGCCTGGTAGGCGCAGGAGGGGGTGGAGGGCGGAGGCAGGGCAGGGGCAGGCCATTCTCGCAACCCAGAAGCAGGTAGCTGCCTGCAGGGTGGGCTGGCCTTCCTCTTCTCCCAGGTGGCCGCAGGGGGGTCTCCCAGAACTATCTGGGTCATGGGCGGGTGGGGGAAATCGGGTAGAGGCACAGAACTGTCTGCTGGGCTGCCTCTTTTCCCTCCCCTGATTTCTGGGAGGGGCCCACCTGCCTGTGTCCCCATTTTCCCACGAGCTCTTTCCCCAATGGCTCAATCCTACACCCAGATCCTGCTGGAGCCTCTTTAGGGCCTGGTGCTGGGAAATGAAAGCATAAACAGGAGGCTGGCATTGTGCCACCACCAGATGGGACCAGCTGCCTTGGGCTGGGTGCCAGTCTGCCTTGGCTCCAGTCCTGCCAAAGTTGTGGAGGAGCAAGGGGGTGGCTGTGTTGGACCAAGAAAGGCCTCTGGGCCCCAAGTACTTGTCCGGCCCACCAATTGCCCCCAGCGAGCCTCAGTTCTCCCTAGAAAGGCAACGGCCTCTAGCTTGAGATCATGGGGGGGGGGGGGGGTGGGGAGGGAGGGGGTTGCTTTCGGTCTCCTCCCTCCCAGTTGTTGTGCGGTTTGTTCCACTTGATGCTACCCAGCCCTGGTGTGGGTGGGAGCACAGCAGGGAGGGGTTTGGCCACTAGTCTAGGGTCACACACTCCTAATTGCTTGCTGCTGCAGCTGCTCCACACATGGGGGGGGGTAGCCTTTGACATTCCCCCCCCCCCCCCCCCCCCGGAGCAAATGCCTAGCTGAACTTGCTGCTCTGTTGCTGAAGAGACACCCCTTCCTGGCCCCTCAGCCTGCTGTTCCGGCCGGCCTCGAGCTCCTCCCACAGGGCTGTCCCTCCTCCGACCACCCTTTCCCTGGAAGGAGTCTGAGCTGGAGGGCTCCCTTCCCTGCCCAGGCAGCCCTAGAGGAAAGGATCTGCTGCTGCTTCTTTCCCTGTGGATCGCAGTGGATGAAGGGAGGTGGGAAAAGCCCCAAGGCCCTCAGCCCTGCGGCCTTCTGCCTTGCCATCCTGGCCAGGTCTCTCTGCTAAGCTCCTGCTAGAGAGCCATGCAAACGTCCTAAATCCAAGGGATAAAAACGTTTCTGTACTGAAAACAGTTGCTCACCCACCTGTCAGTCTCAGCAAAGGTGGTCTGGGGGACAAATGCCTTTCCAGAGCAGACAGGCTCAGAAGCCTCTTGTTCAGGGAAAGGGCAGCCAAAGGATGGGATCAGGAAAAGCCGCCTTCTCCCCCTCTTCACTTTACCTTTCTCTCCCTGGATAGGACAGCAGAGTCACAGGCAGAGTCGCAGAATAAGAAGAGAGTTGGAAGGGACCCTGGAGGTCTTCTAGTCCAGCCCCATCTGATCAAGCAGGAGGCCTGTCCAGCCTCTTCTTAAAAGCCTCCAGTGAGGGAGCCCTCACAACTCCTGGAGGGAAGCCCTTCCACTGGTTGACTGGTCTCCCTGTCAGTCAGTTCCTCCTGAGCTCCAGGTTGCTTCTCTCCTTGCATAGTTTCCACCCCTTGCTTCTTGTCCCGCCTTCAGGGGCTTTGGAGGATCGGGAGCCTCCCCGCTCTCCTTTGTGGCCTCTGCTTCCTCCCCTTCCTTCTCCTGTGCTCCTTCTCCTTGCGAAGAAAAGGCCCAGCCGTGGGTGTAACAGGGCCAGACAGGGAAGGTGCTTCATTGATCAGGGTGGGGGTGGAAAACAAAGGCAGGCTGCCTGGTGTTGTGTTGTCCTGTTCCAAGCCTGCGTGTCCACTGAGAAGCCAGTGAGCTGAGCTTGGGTCATCTGAATTTCCGCCTCTGATTCCACTCCATCTTCTGTCCTGCAGTCCTGTGTCCTCTCATCTGCCAAAATGGGGGAGTCTGCCTCAAGAAGGACAAGTGCCTCTGCCCCCACAACTGGACTGGCAAGTTCTGCCACATCCCGGCCTTTCCTTACCCCAGCCAGGGACAAGGCCCTGCTCATCCTGGAACTGAGGGGGAGCCGGAGAACAGACGGCAGCAGTCCGTGCACACCCTCCCAATCGCCAACCACCGCTACGAGCAAGATGGTAAGGAAGCCTGGAAGGGTGGGCAGGTGGGAATCGGACCGTGAAGGAACCACCAAGAGAGAGGAACGGCTGTGAAAGTTTGCTTGCATGCCAAAGTTTCAGGCGAGGACACCAAGGCAGGCCCATCCCCTGCCCGTGACTGTATGGAGCAAGGTGCATCAGTTAAGAGCTGGACCCCTCGGCTGAAGGGATAGAAAGATTTAGGAGAAGAAACAGGGTCCTCTCTCCGCCCCCCCCCTTCCCTGAGGACTGGCATGTCAGGGTCCCATTTACCCACCCCTCCTGGCCTTGAGAGAGGCTCTGAAGACATGGCCCTGCCCCTGGTCTGTGGGTCCAGCAAAGGTGGGGCTGTCTTACAAAGGCTGCATTGGGCCAAGATCAATCCTACATTCGGCTACTGGTGATGATTTCCCTCTTATGGACAGTTTTTCACTTATTTTTATTGGATTGTTTTTAACCTGTTGTGAGCTGACTGGAGTCTTTTAGATGAGACGAGATGGGCAGCCATATAAATCCAATAAACCATAATCCTGTTACAGCAGCAACTCCAGTGCTGGGCAGGAGAGGCAGGTCAAGCTCACCAAGGAACCTGGTAGACTGGGGGCAGCAGGAGCGGGGGAGGGGGGCAGCTGGCCCAGCGGGGCTTGCCCAGGGTGCAAGCCTTTCCTGGCGGCCAGGGGTGGGCAGCAGAGGGCTGGCGGGGTTTGGGCCCCCATCGGCGTCTCCCCCCGCCAGGTGTGGCGTCGCTGGTGAACGTCCACGTGGAGCACCCGCCGGAAGCCTCGGTCACCATCCACCAGGTGGAGCGAGTCAGCGAGGTGTTGCTACCCAGTGGCCCCGACGCCTTCTCGCCCTCCCGCCAAGCCCTCTCCGGCGTGTTGGCCCAGAGCAGCCGCCGGGACCCCGAGGGCGGGTACGGCGAAACCTCCGGCTTCGGCTACTGCTTCCAGCAGCTGCGCGGCGAAGAGGTAGGCTGGGGCGGCTGTCGAACAAATCCTGTTCAGGCGACGGGCCGGCTCAAAAGCCGCTCCGGCACCTCCGACCCCCCCCCCCCCCCCCCCGCCGAAGCCGGCAGGAAAAGCGGGGCTGAGTTCTGCCCGGGAGGCGCGGAGGCGACTGTAGATTCCCGCGGCCGTGCGAGGATTTTCGGCTGTTTCCGGAGCGGCCGCGACCGGGCGCCGGGCCGGGTCCAGCCTGCCTTAGTCCTTGGTCAGATGTCCGCGTCTTCCCTTGCGAAGCGCGTCGTTTTTCTCCTTCGCGCCCACAGCGGGAGGCAAGTAGCTTAGAGGTGCCGGGGTCTCGGCTCTTCCCTCCCAGCGAGGTAGGCGAGGGCTGCGGGCGGGAAGAGGCAGGCAAGAGAGGCTGCCCCAGGCGCCCCCCACCCCATTTCAGGTTCTTTCTGCTGAATTCTCAGCCGATCTCCAGCGCACGCAGGCCTATTTTCATACTCCGCACAGAACCACGTGCGCAGTCAAGAGCGCAACTTTGCGCGATCGATTCCTTCTTGAGAGGGTGAAATTCCCCAGGACAGAAGCGAGCGCGCTGCTCAGGGTCCTATTGCGCAGCCGCCATCTCAGAGGGTGGCGGGGTGCAGTTTTGGCTCTCCACGGACTTGTTTGTGCGAACTCACGCCTTGCCTTCTCCTCGCTTGCCAGGAGCACGGAAGGTTAATAGGGTGTCGTTGGGTTGGTCAGGGGCATTCCCTAACTGGCCGCCTCCTCGCCCTTTCAGTGCAGTGCCCCCTTGCCTGGACTGCGCACGCGAGAGATCTGCTGCCGTGGCTCCGGTGTCGCCTGGGGTGTTCATGGCTGTCTGCCTTGTGCCGATGGTGACGCGGGTAAGATAGCTGAAAGCGGCGGTTCCCGCTGCCCCGGGGTACCCGATACCCAGCTGGTGTCCTCTGGCCCAATTCTTTCCACAGATCCTCATCTCTCCCCACGCCCCTCTGGCCGTGCCTGCTGCTTGCCTCCCTCCTTGGAAAGCCCCACGTTCCTCTTCCACATCCCCCAAGCAGCCCTGGTCTTTCATTCTCTGACGGGCAGTCTCTCCACAGGGGCTTCTGGGCCAGTTGGAAGGAATGCGCTGGGCTGCCCCAGAGGGTTCCTGCGGCTGAATCATTCCTGTGTGGGTGAGCCACCTGGGAAGGGTTGCTGGGCCGCCAGGGATGCAGGGAGCCTTGCGGAGAGCCTAGACCTGCAGGTGCGGGGTAGTCTGCCCAGCTGATCCCGCTGCCATCCTGACCGTCTCTCCCTCTGGCCAGATGTGGATGAATGCCAGGAGGGCAACTTCTGCCACAATGGGGAATGTACCAACACGCGGGGCAGCTTTGCCTGTGTCTGCCATGAGGGCTACATCCTTGACTCCTCTCGCAGCAGCTGCATCTGTGAGTCCAATCCCAGGGGAAGGCAGGGTGGGGTGGTATGGCTCCACCTGGACTTCCAGAAGGGCCTGGGAAGAGAACCTGCTGGTGGCCTGGGGTGGGGGGTGGGGGGGCAGAGGGGCTCTTTTCCCTTTTTGGCTCCCAAAGCAGGTGGACCAATGCTGCCCTCTCCTGGCCATCCAAGGTCACATGGGGGAAACCCAATATTGTGCCCGCCCCAAAGGGTGAAAGAGTGGAGTTGAAGTAGCATCTTGTTTAACGTTTGGTTCCCTTGAAGAGTTCATACAAAAGTGTGTAACAGAGGGAAGTAAAACCAGACTGCTGAGAAAGCGACACTTTCCACTTGCAGACCGTTGGCTTTGGGTGTGAAAAGCAGGGTGGCGCCAAATGTACAATCGGTCAGAAATTGTGTCCAGATATTAAGAAAGAAATCTTCAACTTCTTCTTCAAAATTGGACAAATTACGCAACAAACTGATTGAGCTGAAGGCAAATTTATCTAAGATACAGCAAAATTTTACATTGGGGAGTGGCCGAAGTAGCCAACCGCCCCTCCCCGCAGAGTATCCTAGCCCTGCTCCGGCTGGGCTTGCCTTGGGGGGGGGCTGCGGGGGGCACCCCCTGGATTACTGGCAAGCCAAAGCTTTCGGCCCTTCTCTTCCTCCCCAGCCCACCACGTGATCTCCGAGGTGAAAGCCCCCTGCTTCCGTGTGCTGCGGGATGGCCGGTGCTCCCTGCCCACCCTCCGGAACATCACCAAGCAGATCTGCTGCTGCAGCCGAGTGGGCAAGGCCTGGGGCTGGGGCTGCCAGCACTGCCCACCCTTTGGCTCTGGTGAGGCCCCTAGAGCCCTGCCACATGAGGCAGGAGTAAAGGCAAGTGGGCGGGATGGAGGGCGGCATGGGAGCTTTGCCCTCTGCTTGACGTGCCGCTGTTGCTCTCCTGCCAGAGGGATTCAAGGACATCTGTCCAGCTGGGCCCGGCTATCACTACTCGGCCTCAGACCTCCGTTTTGACACTCGCTTCCTTGGCCAGGACCCCCCCAGAGTGCCGGTGACCCGTCAGCATGGGAGGCAGGGGCCTCCCCCGCAGGTGCCTCGGACAACAGCCGCACCGTCTCTTGTGGGTATGTCTTCAGGGCAGGACTCTCACCTTGGCTCGGGTGTGCCTCCCAGGCAGCCCCTCCTCTCCCTTATGCCAGCTCTTTCTGGTTTGCAGCTCTCTGGAGCGTCCCTCCCACTACGCTGCTGGAGCGCTTTCCTTGGCCCCTGCCCACTCGCTCCCCTGGAACTGGGCCAGCTGCACCAAGTACAGAAGGTGGGGCTATGCCAGGTGGCAAGGGCTGGAGGGAAGGGGGGAAAGGCCAGGGCGCAGAAATGACCAGGCTCCCATGGCATGCTTCCCCAGAGGCTGGGCGAGGGGTGTGTGAGCGACACCCCCAGGTGTGCGGGCCAGGACGTTGCCTTCCTCGCCAGGGAGGCTACACTTGTGTGTGTGACCGTGGCTACTGGTTGAGCCCTCAAGGCACCCACTGCATTGGTGAGTTGGAGAAAAAAAAAAACCCAAACTCAGTGGGGGGCAACCTTTGGGGTGGCAGGCAGGCCTCCCCAAAGATGGAGTTTCCGATGGCCAGGGGCAAGCCGGGTTTTGTGAAGCTGGTAGATTCTGGGCTGAGCCCAGCTTACGGGTATCCCCACCGCCCCCCAGCCGGGTAGGTGATCAGAGGAGCAGATCAAGGGCTCCACTGAGCCATTCTTGCCCTCCAACCTTCCCGCCAGCTGTACTCCCTTCTCCCACTCTGCAGATGTGGATGAATGCCGCAGCAGTCCGCGCCCCTGTGCCAACGGGCAATGCCAGAACTCCCCGGGTAGTTTCAGCTGCAGGTGCCACATGGGCTTTCAAGCTGACCCCTCCGGAGTGGAGTGCCACGGTAGGGGCTCCAGAGGCTTTGGCCCTCAGGGGAATTGCCCTTCCCTCCATGCACCCGTGTCTCCCATTGTCCGGTTTCCCTTCCAGACGTTGATGAATGTGCCCTCGTGCCCCAGCCCTGTGCGGGTGGGCATTGCCTCAACACCCTGGGCTCCTTCCGCTGCTCCTGTCCCAGTGGCTATCAGCCCAATCCCTCCGGCACTGAATGTCGAGGTAATGGGCGTGGGGCCTTGGTGGGGGCAGTAAGCTGGCTGGCCAGCAGCCCCAGCTCCTCTCCTCGGCCTACTGGTACACAGGGGGGTGGGACTTGAAACATGGTTCTCATTCAGAGAAACCTGGGGGCTGTTTTGCTGTTATGGCTGCCCTTCTCTTGTTCTCTGGCTGCACATGTCAATGGGTATCCCCAAGCCTGCCTGCCCCTCAAACACGCTGACTCTGTGCCTGCTCCTGTGGGTACAGCCAGTGCCAAGGTGAGAGCAGGGCCCCCACGTTCACACCTCCTTTGCTGATAGGGTGATAGGGTTTAAAGCCCTTCCAAATGTGCATCTCACTTCCCACAAACAGTTGGGCCCCATTGGCCAGAGTCTCCTCTTCTGGTGGGGGTGGGGGGGCTGAGTGCGTGAACGAGGCAGGGAGGAGCCTGGGACACACAGTCACCGTGTGATTTTCCAGATGCGGATGAGTGCCAAGGCCGCCCCTCCCTCTGCCAACCTGGCCACTGTGAAAATGTGCCAGGCGGATATCGCTGCAGCTGCCCCATTGGTTACCAGCCGAACCCGCTGGGGACTCTGTGTGCAGGTCAGGGGGCTGGGGAGAAACTGCCCCTGTGGGTTGGTCTGTTGCCCCATTTGTGCTTTGGGGGATGGCAGCAGCCTGTTCACCCAAACCTCCTGGGTGACCCCCTTCGGCAGGCTTTGTTCAGAGACATCCAGAGTGGAGAGACGAGCGTGGGTCCAGAGGGGCCCTCTGGGATGCAACCTCTTTCTTTGTACCCCACAGATGTTGACGAATGCCTGCAAAGCCCTCCACCCTGTGGCTCTGGACGCTGTGAGAATGTGCCCGGTGGATACCGCTGCCTCTGCCCTGCTGGCTTCCGGGCCAGCCTGACGGAGAACCAATGCCTGGGTGCGCAAGGGGAGGAGTCGGGGGGAGGTGTGGGGGCAGCACAGGGACACCGCTGATGGGCATATTCCTTCCACAGATATTGATGAGTGTGCAGCAGCAGGATTGCCTTGCGGTCCTCAGGGGCTCTGCCTCAACACAGAGGGCTCTTTCCGCTGCCAGTGTGCCCGAGGGTATCGGACGGAGGGCGTGGGGGGTACTTCCTGTGTGGGTGAGTGCCACACATCAGATGAACATACCAGCCAGGGCTGAGTCGGAGGCTGCGGTCTTCCTGTAGACCCACATTGAGCTTCTTTCCAAGCTCTGGGTCCCTCCAGGCATAGACTGGCAGCACTGGCAAGAACAGTGCCCACTCGTCTTTCCCCACTGCTAGACGTCAACGAATGCCTGGAGGGTGACTTCTGCTTCCCACGGGGTGAGTGCCTCAACACTGAAGGCTCCTACACCTGTCTCTGCGCTCAGGGCTTCACTGCAGCCCCCGACAGGGCCTCCTGTGAGGGTAAGTGCCCTGCAGTCTCATCTGGGGGGTACTGAGTGCATGCCAAGGAGGGGATGAGATCCAGAACCGCTGCGGGGTTCATGCCCTGCTGACCTCTCCTTTGGCCTTTGCAGACATTGATGAATGCCTCAGTGCTACAGTCTGTACTGGAGGGCATTGTGCCAACACCGAAGGCTCGTTTGATTGTTATTGCCCCCCTGGCACCCGCAGCACACCCAGCAAAACTTCCTGTGAGGGTGAGTGGCAGTTTTCAGCAGTTAGTCTCGGGGGTTGTGGGATGGGGGGGGGGCACCATTACTTTCAGCCTGCCAAGGTTGAGAGAGGAGAAAGTCAGAGCCTTGGTTGAAGCTGTGAGATGGGAGACCCTGGAGTCTCTGGCCGCTGGCACAGGATTAGCCACCATAAGCACAAGCTCCAAGTCCACGCGGTAGGGTCTTCCCTCTTGACAGCACTAGTGGGACCCGCAAACCAAGAGTCTCTCTGCCTCCCGCCACCCCCACCCCCGCACCCCCTGGTGGTGCCTCTCTCAGAAGGGCCTGCTGCCAGGGCCCCTGCAGAGTGTCGTTTCATCCATTAGCCCTCTGGCAGGGGACCCCAAAGGCTCATCCTGGGATGCTCCACCACAGTTGATTAGGCCCTTGGATGCCGACGGCAGGGTTTGATCCCTGGAATTCTGAGCCCCTCCCCGGGGACAAGCGGCTCCTACTGAGCCTCCCTCTTCGTACATCCCACAGACATCGATGAATGCCAGGAGTATGGGGCAGCCCTCTGTGGAACACAGCGCTGTGAAAACTCAGCTGGCTCATACCGCTGTGTCGTGGCTTGCCAGATCGGCTATCGAACCAGTGCCACAGGAGACTGTGTCGGTGAGTTGTGCCAGGCCTGGTGGGCTTTCCGTGTCTCCTTCCCGGCATTGGTTGCACAGCGTCTGCATGGGAGCCTTCTCCAACAAGACCCACCCTCTGCCTGGGCCGGTTCAGCTTCCTGCTTGTTAGCCTTGCACCTGTTCCAACCGCCGACTCCCCCTTCAGATATCGATGAATGCCAGGACCCCAGAGCGTGTGGAGAGAAGCGATGTGAGAACACACTGGGCTCCTATCACTGTGTGGCCACCTGCCAGATGGGCTACCGAGCTGCTGCTGCTGGGGACTGCATAGGTGAGGACATCCATGGGGTTTGGACTGTGGGCAGGAGGAGCCTCACAGCGGTGACCTCTGCAACTGAGTGACTTGCCAAAGGATCACAGTTCTTCTGAGTGGGTATACGTGACCCTTGCAGATGTGGACGAGTGTCAGAACAGTTCCACGTGTGGTGCCCATGCCATCTGCCACAACTTGCTCGGCTCCTTCCAATGTATCTGCGACCAGGGCTATGAAAGTGCCAGGGATGGGCGGCATTGCTTAGGTATGTGGCTGGCAGCAGGGCAGGGGATGGAGGCCCAGGGACCGACCAAACGGAGAAGGCGAGGAGGAAGGGAGGGGGAGACCTGGATCCCAGTGGCACCTTTTTTCCATCCGTTCCTCACAGATGTGAATGAGTGTGAGACACTGCAGGGGGTGTGTGGAACAGCACCGTGTGAGAACGTGGAAGGCTCTTTCCTGTGCATCTGCCCCCAAACTGGGGAAGAGTTTGACCCCATGACTGGCCGCTGCATTGCTTTGCCCAGTGCTGGTGAGAGCTGGGGGGAGGCTTGGAGACCGGGGAGGGGCCTAAGGGACGGAAGGAAGGTAAGCTTCAAAGGTCCAAAGAGGGAAGCCCCCCCAGAGGTGGGTCAGCATAGAATACTTGCCACTGGCCCAGCCTCCCACCCACAGAGCAGAGGGGCAGCCTTCCCAGTGGGTGGCCCTTGGAGGGAGACCGCTCCGAACCGGTTCCCGAAAGATTTGGGGTGGTTTTCAAGGTCACACAAGAACAACACAACAAATAGAAAACTGTCAGGCACGTAACTAATTAAGGTGAGCCACGATGGCAGCCCCCAAAGGTCTTGTGGAATGATATGGGAAGGAGGGCTGAGGACACCCCTTATTGCTGGGAAGCCCCCCCCCCCACCTCTGATCAAAATGGGTCAGCCAAGGCCAGGCGGGGGGCTGGGGGGGGGACACGGACTTGCAGATACCTGGTTACCTTCAGGGCTTTAAAGGTGAACTGGAGCCTCCAGCAGCCAGCAGAGCAACTGCAGGAGAGGGACAATGTTGCCAGGCAGGTTGCCAGCTGCATTTCGGACCACCCAGTCTGGTGGAGGGGAGGGTACACTCTGGGAGGAACTCTCTGAATGAACTGGGGAGGGGGTCCCATCCACCTTCTCCGTCCTGCAGCTCGTCCCCCAGCCCTCCCCAGGCACCCAGATGCGGCACAGTTGGAGAACGGTGACGGTCTGCGACGCGAGTGCTACTATGACCCAAACGCCGCCCAAGCGTGTGAAAGCGTCCTGGCCAGGAATGCCACCCGCCAGGAGTGCTGCTGCAGTCTTGGCCACGGGTGGGGCCTCGACTGCCACATCCAGGCCTGCCCCTCCTTGGGGACAGGTAAGGCTGGGAGGGTCAACCCGGGGGGGGGGGGCAAGGGAAGGAACCGTGGGTTGGAATAGCTCCAGGCACAGAATCTTGCACCTGCTCCTCCCCCCCACTATCAAAAGCTTATTATTTTGTGGCTTTTAAATAATGACAGAGAATTGGGAAAAACACACATAAAATTACATGCTTTGTCAAAGCAAATGCATACGAAATGTTTTTAAGTGAAAAATACAACAAAAGGAAAAAGCATATCATTTTAGCCGAAAATAGTTACAGCTCTAGAGGCTGGTAGGTGGCACTGGGGTCTTCGATCCTTTGGGTGAAAGGATCCCCTGTCGTCATGGGAACAAGGGGGAGGGGCTTGAGGGTTTTCCCAAAGTTAATTTTGCGGAGTGAGCTTTAGGCTCGCTTGCCTGACTGTTCTTAGCCCAAGCACCTGTGTTGGTCTGGGGTGTGGGGGGCAGGGAATGCAGAGGGGAGAAATGATGTTGCAAGCAGCCTTCCGGTCCAGCTTTGCTCCCGACTTCTAGGAATCCAAAAGGAACAGGGAGGGAGAGAGCTGTGCTCCAAATGGGAACCGAAGCGGGGCAGGGGTAGGGGGCTGGGCTGGCATTTGGGGCACCAGGAGGGCTGCAGGTGGTCTTGAGAATTGGCCGGTCAGAAGCCCCCTCTGCCTCTGGCAGACACGAGCAGGTTCCCTTTGTGGGTGTTCCTGGCCTCGGTCATCTTCCGTCTCCTCTGAAGGGTCCTGTAAAGGCTGTTGGATGCCCCCCCCCCCCCGACTGAGTCCGGGAGGAGGGCTGGGGGCCTTGGGGCAGCTGTTGACAGGCGGCCTGTTTCCCTGCAGCCGAGTTCCAGGCTCTGTGTCCTCACGGCAGGGGCTACACTGCTGTCCTCGTCAGAAACGTCCCAGCAGTTACAGGTGCGCACTTGGAGGGCTCTGGATGCGGCCAGCTTAAATGGGACGGGGTCCCACATGGAAGAGAGTGGGTTAGAAGTCTTCACTTTTTCCCTTTATGCCCAACTCGGTGTTCCTACACAGATGTGGATGAGTGTACCCTCTTCGGCTCCCAGGTGTGCAAGGGCGGGGTCTGTTTGAACAAGATCCCTGGCTACTCCTGCTACTGCCCCAATGGCTACTATTACGAGACGCAGCACCTGGAGTGCATCGGTGAGCACTGCTCCCTCCCTGCTTCTGAGGTGCTCATGGCCCGAGAGTGACCAATGCCCCTGTTGCCCCAGATAACGACGAGTGTCTGGATGAAGAAGCCGAGCCCTGCGTGGGGGGCCACTGCATCAACACCATCGGCTCCTATTACTGTTCTTGCGCAGCTCCCCTGGTGCTGGACCCCTCCCAGCGCCGATGCGTGACCAATGAGAGCCACGGCCTGGGTTCGTATTCCCCCCCCTTCAGGCCCAGCCTCGCGGGGGGGGGGCATCGGGAGGAGCCTTGGTTCTTTGGGAGTCGTCCTGGCAATCCCTCCTCCCCCTCCAGATGAGGACCTGGCCGTCTGCTGGCAGGAGGTGGGCCCGGACCTGGTGTGCCGCCGACCCCGCCTGGACCGGCGGGTGACTTACATGGAGTGCTGCTGCCTCTATGGGGAGGCCTGGAGCATGAACTGCGCTCTGTGTCCAGCCCGGGACTCAGGTAGGTGCCCTCCTCTTCCCCCAGGAGCCGAGGGTGGAGCAGAGGAGCGGGCCCCGTGCTCCCCCCCCCCCCGCCTTTGCAGGCTCATGAACAGGGAAGAGGAAAGGAGCAGCAGGTGCTGGGAAGAACTGCAGCCACCTTTCCTTTTCCCAGACGTCTGTTTTCATTTATTGATTAAACTTTTATGCCACCCGTCCTCATGGCAAGGAGCTGGAGGCCATCTTGACCGTGGGTGGAAAGTCCTTATTTGACACAATAAGGTTTCCAGGTGCCCCCTCAGGCCCCGTGGTGTGTGCTGAGGATGCAGCTCTTCCAGGCCCGGGTGGGCGAGAATGTTGCCTTCTTCCTGAGCACCTCCACCTGGCCACCGGGGGGGGGGGGTCTTGCTGCCCTTTCCCTAGCTTTGTGACCCTCAGTAGCAAGGAGAGGCTGTGGGGAGTCTCTGTGGGGCACGCTTCAGGGCCTTTCCTCCTTTGTTCAACAGCACCGTACTGCTGGGGGGCTTCTGGAGACCATCTACCCCTGCATTTAGACTGCTTTGGCCCTAACCCGCCCCCACCCCTTTGCTTTCCCCAGATGACTTTGAGGCCCTGTGTAATGTCCTCCAGCGTCCCACTTATGGGTTGGGGAGGCCAGGCAGCCTGGGGGCACCCTTCGAATATGGCGGAGGAGAGTTTCTTCCCTATGGCCCTGAGGTCTACGACCCCCTGGCACGGCCTGCCCCTCTGGCTCCCAGCTATGACGCTCTCCCTCACGAGTCGCTCTATGGGCCATCCCCCTACGAGGCCGCTGGCCTGGATGACACAACCTATGGCGAAGCGCAGCTAGAGACCCCAGCTGAGGACCCTCGGGATGGATACCAGCCTCACAGCCCCCCTGACTCAGACTGGCACTACCTGTCCCGTGGCCGTGGGCACTCCTATCCTGAGCGGCCCAGTCGCGCCAGCGAAGACTACCGTGAGTAGGTGACAAAGGGGGAGGGGGGAGCTACCTGCAGGTGGTCCTGGGCTGGAAGGAAAGGGGGCCTCTGGCAGGGGAAGCTGGAAGGAGGGGGCGGCTCAGGCCATGCCAGTGCAAAAGGGAAGCCTGCTGGCATCTCTTGGTCTATCACCAGCAGGCCGTTTTGGAGGCACCAGAGGGCTTCCAGCCGAGGAGTGCGGGATCCTGAGTGGCTGTGAGAACGGCCGGTGTATCCAGGTTGCCGACGGGTTCACTTGCTTCTGCAACGAGGGCTACCGCCTTGACCCGACCCACATGGCCTGCCGTGGTGAGGGCCCCCCTTTTCTTGCCACCTCAGCTGGCGGGCTGAGCCCGGCTCTCCTGGCCAACGGGAGGCCTGACATGATCTCTCTCCTTCTGCAGATATTGACGAATGCAGGGAGGTGGACAGGCTGTGCTCTGGCGGCCGCTGCCTCAACCTGGAAGGCTCCTACCGTTGCCTGTGCCCTCCTGGCACCGCTCCCGCAGGGCGGCTCCCCCGATGCCTCCACATCCCCCGCAGCTGAGCCTGAGCTGGGGCGGGTGGGGAATATTTATTACTTTTCCAGGTGGGAACGGAGAAAGGGCCCTTTGCCCGCCCCACCCCCCTCAGCCTGCAACCTTTGGAGGAGCTGGGGAGGGGGCTAGTGCTCAGGAGAGCGGGGGCTCTTCTACTCCTTGTTAGGGCCATGGGGCAAGGGGAGGGTGGCTAAAAAATTCCAAAATAAGATTGGATCCCTCTTGTCCTAGGAAGGCTGAGCCCATCTGGCTGCCTCCTTGCCCTGTCCCAGGGAGGGGATGTTGCCTCCGATTGGAAACATTTCCTCTCCCCCCACCCACCCCGTTGTCCATGTGTGCACGGGAAGGCATGCCCCCCCCCGCACCCTTTCCTCATCTGCTGAAGACTCACAGCGGAGTTACCCTGCAGGGCACTGGCAGGAGCACTGGGGCCAGTCCTTCCCTGGGCCCACGGGGCTTTCGCAGAGGGGATGGGAATAGGGCCAAGTCCCAGTGAATGCCTGCTAACAGGATTCCAGCCCTACCCTCGGGACCAAGGGCAGCACGGAAGCCCACAGCCCCAAACATTTCCCAGGTCCTTTTGCCTGTCATGAGGAGAGGGGCCCCACAGCTCACCACCTCTGCTCCCCCAGCTCCACCTCCCTTGTTGCTCGAACAGACGCTTAAACCCTCTCGCGCATCCAAAGATGCCCACAACCCAGGTAGGGGCTGTCAGCCTTTTTGGCAGCATGCCAGCTGGGGCCACAGTCACTTTTTCACTGCTGTTACTGGACCAATAAATATTTTCTATAAGAGGAGTTGACAGATTTGGCTTCTCTAAGGAGAAGAGACCAGCAAGGAGTTCCTCCAGTCCCCCCTCCCTCTGGGGCACAGGTGTTTGGTGGGGACAGGAAGAGTTGGCTGGATTAACTGGTGGGTGGGTGGGGGTGGAAATAGCAACACAGGCCAAGCAGCCTCCAGGGTGGCTCTGGGGTCTCACCAGCCAGAAGGGGAAAGGGTTTCTGCAGTCAAGTGCTCAGAAATAACCACACAGAGCGAACCCCACCAGTTTGTCTTCTCTGGCGTGAAGTGTCAGTAGCAAAATGTTTTGAGAAATGGACCCTGGTTGGGGCCCTTCCCTTCCACTTTCCATTTGAGGCTTTGGTGTCTCAAGCGCACAGCCCCCCCCCCCCACTTCCGCCTCGGCAGCTCAAGCCACAGCTGGAAGCAAAGGATACTGGGCCACATTGCACTGACTACAGTGATAGAAGGAGGAGTCACTGCGGAGGGATGAAGGGCCTAGGAGCTCCAGCCTTTTAGCTGAGCTTCTTAAATATCCCCCCTCCCAGCTGATCCAAAGGCAGAGCCAGAAGCCTCTCCAAGCTCTCCTCTCCTGGCCAGAGCGGAGCTCTATTCCCTCCCCTGCCCTCCACAGGAGTGGACCGTCCAGCAGCCTCATTTCCTTGGTCAGGAAGGACAGAGGAGAGCAGCCAGTCTTCCTTGTGGGTTAGCCCCGACTCTCACCCTGCTGCTCCTTGCTACGATGTGTTAATGGAGGAATAATGGGATGGGCCTCCTGGCCTGGGGTGTGCAGGCAATTGTTCCCTCTGCCCTGGCTCAGAGGGACAGCTGGGCTCCCCCAGGATACTCTGATGCTCTTCGGGAGGCTGCTCCGGGGGCAGGAAGACCAGCTCGGAGAGGCCATGCAGGTCTGCCAGCTTGTGGAAGGTCTGGAGAATCAGCAGCATGGCCATCAGCCCCAGAAGCAGGTAAACTGGAAGGAGAGGGGGGAGGGTGAGCCAGGAACAGATCTGGAAGATAGGCAGGCTCTTCCCTCCTCCTTGCCCACCTGGGAATCACGGGTTGCCCATGTGAAGTGGCGGGATTGGGGTGCCCAGCACCAACCTGCCATCAAAACTCTGGTTCAACCTTCCACCTGGATGCTCTCTGGGTGGGATGGCCTTTCCATTTGTTCCTGGGGCAGAGCACTACTGACCTGTGATAGAGACCTTGTAGAGGGGGCGAAGGTGTTGCCCAGGCTGCTCCCCAGGGACGTAGTCCCCCAGGCCGATGGTGCAGAGGGAGATGAAGCAGAAGTAGAAAGCGTCCAAGAAGCTCCAGGACTCTTCCAGAGAACTGAAGATGGCAGCAGGCACTAAGAAGAAGGCTGCCAACACCAGGCCCATCAGCACAAACAGGTGCCCCCACGACAGGATGCGGCGGTCAGAGCCCCAGCGGAGGGCCAGGTATTCCAGGGGCCCAGAGGTGAAGGTGCCCACAAGGCGCTGCACGGTAGCTGTCAGCACCAGCATGGTGAAGGGGACGCCCACCACAGCGTAGAGGATGCAGAAGGCTTTGCCGGCGTCCGAGAGGGGCGTAGTGTAACCGTAGCCTGGGAGGAGGGAAGGGTGAGCATCAGGGGCAGCGGTACCTGTGCTGAGGCTCCGCCCTGAGCAGCACCTGGGTTCAGGGGCAGAGACAGGGGTGTCTGTCCCTCCACTGACCAGACCAGCAAACAGACTAAGCCACCTCTGCCCACGGGAGGACTATTCGTGCCTTTGCAGCATGAGCTGCTGTGGGGCCCAATTCTTATTTGGATAGCAGCCTCACACAGCTCATGGGACAGAAGGGGAAAAAAGGGTGGGAGGCAGGTAGACCTCTGCCCTTCTGAAGGGAAGTGGAACATTCATGGAGCAGCTGGATGGTTCATGACAGGTGGGGTGGGGCTTGGCGAGAGTCCGCTTTAGTCTTTAGTCTGAGAGTTCAGGCTGGAAGCATTAATAGGTTGGCCGTTGCTGGGACTTCCAATGGTTTTCATTGCTGAAAGGAAAAAAATGTCAATCCTGTATATTGGGCACAGCGGGCTACCCAGAAGTGACACGGGGCAAAGGCAGGTGGCAGGTGCCAGTGCCCCAGGACTGGTGACACAGCAGAGGGTGGGGAATTCTGGCTCCTGGGCAGCACCCCTTTCACATGGAACACTGCCTGTGTTGTCTTGGGGGCTTCTGGGTTAAGACAGGAGGGACAGCAACTGCACACCAACTGGGGATGCCACACTATGCTGGAAAAACTAGCCAGCTTGCTTGTTGCTCAATTCCAGGGGGCCAAATGGATGGGCTACCCATACCCTGTGTGGCAAGAGGACACGAATGATCAAGGCTAGGGCCCTTTTTCAAAGCTGGCACTTCTGCCCCTAAGCCAAGTGTAGCTGACAGAGCCCAGCACTTGCCCATTGCCGCCTTTCATCTTTTCTTTCTCCAGAAAGAAATGGAGGGGGGTAAATTAACTGTTGTTTCTTCTTTTGCCGTTTTTATGAGTGTTGTAACCACAACAGTTATCTTCGGAGTCATTCTACATGACAATGGTGCAATATTCATGTAACTATTGCTAATAAAATTGTGCTGTTAGGTTAAAAAGAATGGAACATGAAATTTTAAAACTTGCCATTGGCACCAAAAGCACAGAAATTGCCTCTCACCTCTGATGGAGCCCCACTGAGAAGGGCACCAGGTTTGCCACCTGTTTTGCAGGGCTCCTGCCAGGAGTAAGGGAGGATCCGCGGAGGCCAGCCCAGTAGCCGCCCGAGGCTCCCTCGGAAAAGGCGGGTTCCACCAGAAGAGCCAGCTGCCACCGGGCAAGGTACAAAGCGGAGCCGGTGGATTGCTACCAGTTCACGCAGCCAAACAAGCCTGAACACCCGAGCCGGGAGACGCAGCTCCGGCTAAGCCTGGCAGTTCCGTCCACACCCTTCGGGTCAGAACGGGCTGCAGGGACCGTATGTGACCACCCGCACCAGCAGAGAACCGCCCCAGGCAAAGCCAGCGACTGTATTAAGGCCCCTTCTCAGCGCACTGTTTCGACCCTCGGCAGCCCTGAGCGAGCAGCAGGCGAAGACCAGGAAGCGGCCGCGGCTGCTCACCTGCGCCAGCAGTTCTCCGTCAAGATCGCGTTTCGGAGGGTAGAGACACGGCGCCACGTTCAAGCGTGAAAAAGAGGCTGTGTCCGAGAGTTGGGCGTGGAGGGTGGGTCTCGGCCTGGACCCCGGAAGCGCGCTCCTCCCGGCGCCGCCACCTTACAAGGCGCACGGTTGCGGGGATCCCGCCAGACCCTTCCCCCTCCCCCCCCTACCGCGCCCGGAATGGCTGGCGGAAAGTGGAGGAGAACAGGGCCGCCTGTCCCGAAGAAGCGAGGCCGGCCTCGACTCACCCACGGTGGTGATCAAAGTGCTGGCGAAGAAGAAGGCTGAGGCGAAATCCCAGTTGGACGTGGCAGCCGAGCCGTTGTGCAGGAGGGCTGCGGAGTGGCGGTCGGCGCTCAAGACTGCGCCCAGGAAACGCTCCAGCCTGGCCTCGGACAGGCAGGGGCTGCTGCGCAGGAAGTCGCTCTTAAGCTCCTGCAGCTCGGCTCGCAGCCGGCTCTCGTAGGGTCGCTCGACGGCTGAAATGATCAGCGCTCCGAGCAGCAGGTAGCCCGCGTAGGCCAGCGCGAAGGCCGCCAACACGGCGCCGCGCCTCATGGCTCTCCCGGCGGAGCGCAGAGCCACTCGCGGCAAATAGAAGCGGAAGAAGAAGGAGACGCTTGCAGAAGCCAAGCCGGTGTCCGCCCCGGCGACTCCGCTGACCAGCCTCTTGGGCGGCGGCCAGGCTCCTCCCGTCAGGCGGAGCCGGGACAGCCAAGAGTTGCACCTGGCAGGCGGGGTCCTTTCGCCCAGTTCAGTCCCAGTTCCACCAACTCCGACGGTCAGGTGCTCAGCATCGGGTACATGTTCAGAAGCCCCTGGCTCCTCGCCCTGGCGTAGACCAAGAAATTAAGGCCAATCCTTGGCCTTTCCAACTGGAGTGGAAGCTCACCCCAGGAGGGTCAGATTTTGGAGGAAGCAAGGGTAGTGGGCACCAGGTAGGACTTCTGGCCAAGGCCTTGTGCTTTGCTGCTCCCCTGCTGTCCTGTCCTGTCCTGTCTTGGCCTTGGTCCTTGCCACCTCCCAGAATGGAGGGAGGGATCAAGAGAGCAGGAAAAAGAGCTCGTTAGCCCCCTCAGGAGGTCTAGAGGAGGGAGGACTGTGGGTGTGCTCTCGGCAGGAAGCAAGTTGTGTGAAAACAGGAATTGGGCGACTGGTGGGAGGTTTGCTAGCAAGGAAGCCTGAGGGAACAAGGACCGGGAAGAGCCACCAGGCAGAGAGAAAGGGTCCCCTGCAACAGCAGCGTGAATGGGGAGCAGGAGAATTAG